TTTACGTACAGGCAATCTGGAGACACGGCGATCGAGCACCCAGCAAGCTGCCTTATCCGAACGATGAGAACAATGAAACGATGTGGCCCCGAGGCTGGAGTCAACTCACAAATGTACTAACAGTTTGATGGAGATTTTGAGCTGATAGCCCCAAGGCGCACGCTGCGGCAGCGAGAATTAGCGGGAGTACTTGATGAGGTGGAGGCTCGTGCAGTAGTGACAATAGCATGGCTGATGAAGTGCCTTGCAAGTACCATGGATTGCTTGAGGTGGATCTGAGTTACTATGAAAGAAGGACTAAACTGAGTGGCTGAAAGCGGAGGATCACGGCAAGTATCAGCTTTTGTTCGATAACGACGAATTAAAGAAATAGGGGCTGATAAAAAAGCGGAAAATAAATAGAAAATGGCGTTAGGGTTTTCCGACATGTCAAAATAATTCTAAACTATGAATAACTGTAAACAAGTTTAATGTGATTATGAATATTATTATTGTCATCGTTATTATTATTATTATTATTATTATTATTACTGGCATCGATATTATTCTGTTTTATTACTGTACTGTTACTACGTCATTATTATTCTCTTTTAATTTTAGAGATTTATTATTTTTAATAATGTTTTCGATATTTTTATTATCTCATTATTATTTCATCATTGCCTCTATATTTATGTTTTGTTAAACGCTATTTGATTTTTTCCAACTCTCTGAAATTAAGCAGTTTTAGCATTCTAGACTGGAATGTTACAAATGTACGAACTTGGGCAATTTTTTCAACACCGGTACAGCTCATTTGTGGAACGCTTCGATACTGAAGATGTATGTGTTTCACAATTTAGTAAAGTAGCCCACCTGCGAGGCTCAAGAAGAGATCATTTAGGGCTACAACATTTAAAGGAGTCACAGCGTATTGCTGCCTGCAATTCATACCGCTCATAGCAGTTTTTTCTATGATTTATGCATTCGTCGTTTATAAATAGCTTTTCTAATTCCGTAGAAATTTAACTGAAATTGACTGAGAAGCAAGCTCGATTACAACAGTTTTTATGTTTTTTTGCATTTGCGCAATGCCAGAACGCGTATTTTCGGGAGAGTGGTCAGCACAATTCGTATGCCTCATACCAAGTTTTCATCCTGAGATCAGCAAATGTTACAAGGCTGAAACTTTGGCAAGATTGGAACTCTGACACCTACGTGCGGGCTCCTATCCTCAAAATGAACGATCGTGTTCACATGGTCGTCAAGTACGGGCATGCAAAAATTTTTTAACGGAAAAGCGATTTCGGGAATCACACAAGCTAGAAGGCTGAAATTTTGGCAAAATATTCCTTTTCCGCGTCTAACACAAAGATTTCAAATCCAGTTTTAATCCACTCTCTTATTAATCATGACATATGTACGTATAAAAAAAATTATATTAAACCCAGACTGCAACGCCCAGCCTGCCGGTGTGACCATGTGTTTTTGCGCTAGGCTTGCAGATTGCTAACAGCACAAATAGTTCCTACGCTATACTTCAACACTTTAACTCATGTTAGCTGTGTTTTGGCTTTTTCCCACATGCAGGGCGCAGAGGCACCGGGTGAGATGAGGGTGTTGCATTATGGGGCTGCAAGAACCTCAGCGTGCATGAATATCAGTTTTTATGCGTTTTTGCCTACATGCAAAGTGTAAAAACGCATATTGTGACGACCCTATCTGTGTGCGCATGTGTGTATATTTGTGTGTGTGTGTGTGTATATGTGTGTGTGTGTGTGTGTGTGTGTGTGTGTGTATTCGTCTGTCCGGGTATCTCAACTCGGCAACCAAGCAAGTTCCAGCGCCAAGATTTTCTAGTAGGTTCCCCGGCCAAGGGCCACCCCGGAACCGCAGTAACAACCCTGACGCAAGCCTGGGCCTCGCGTACGAGGGGGTGGATGTTTTGGCGAGGAAAGATAAGAAGCTGAAATTTTGAGATAGTGTTCCCTGTCCACATAGAACTCAAAGATTTCAAATTCAGCCCGCAGGTGCGCGTGGTTCCCGCTTACAGCTCGCGAAACTTTTTTGGCGGGAAAATGACTAACTCGAGAACTAGCAAAGCTGGGAGGCTGAAATTTTCAGGAGATGTTCTCAGCCCATGTATGACTTAAAATTATCAAATTCAGTCCCCAGCCATGCGCGGTTCTCGTGTACGGGCACTGAAATTTTTGGCAGGAAAATTACTCATTGAACAACTGAGTCATTTTCAAATAAAAATGGTCGCTAAAAGGAAGTTGTTCATTTCCTTTTATGCAAAATTTACGATGATTTACGGCATTGAGCGTAGAAGGTAGGTGTGAAGAAACAACCGTTCATGCAGTTAACCTAATTACTTCAAGAAACGCATGATCGCACCGGCTGATGCAAAAACGCATGATCGCACCGGCTCGCCTGGTTCGCTCAAGCCTGGGTTTGCATAAAGCCTGGTCGTTTTTCCGGTGAATGCCTGTTCGTTGAAGAAATGCAAATTTGAAGGAAATCGAAAGAGAATCATGAAGTCTGCAAAATGTACTCACTTTTGAGTTTGCGACAAAATTGAGTATTTGTCATGTCTGCGTGCAGGGTATTTCACCTCTCAGCTGAATTAGACTACACTTGAATATTTGCAATGTTCCAGCTTCGCAGCTTTCTTGGTGAGTGAAATAGCCGCTACAAATATTTTTGCAGTGCCTGAAGTCGCGGCGCATGCGCAAATCCAAACTCAGTTTAGATGCACTGTTTTCCTTACGAAAGCTAAATACTTTGATAAAATTTCAGCTATTGTTTTCTGGTTAGTTTTCGAGTTACCACAGTGCCAACTGCGAAATTTAACGTGACCGTGCGCGTGGTATAAGTATGTGCGATAGATGAACCTGAAATTTTAGCTCACACATGCACAGAGAATATCCCTGCAAAGTTTCAGCTTTCTATCCTGTCTGGTTCGCGAAATCGTTCACCACCAAAGAAATCTATATATGTTTTTGAGGGTTCGCATGCGAGATCTCGACGCGTATGAGCGAAGATTTTAAAATGGGGGAAGGGGTGGCACACGGGGTGTGAATATGACTCTAAAATTTCAGCCTTCCAGCTTTCCTGATTCTCGAATTGAAAGTGGATGACAAGGTTCACTCCTTTCCGAACACATACACACACATGTGGACAATTACTCGATAAAATGCATTTTTGCTCGCTATAGCACCTCTATAACGCTGCATAGCATAAAAATCTACGATGGCTAGAAATCGCTTGGAGCTCGCTTACTTGAGCAGGATTATCCTTAGCTGTAACACATGTAAGGGCTGCTATTGTAGATAGACCTGTTATCATCAAACTCGGATAGAGCCATTGTCAGTGCCCAAGCGATGCTACGTGGATTTTTCCCAGCTGACAGCAAGGATGATCAGTGGTTAAATGGCGAGTTGTGGCAGCCGCTACCATTCCATACGGGTCCCATGGATGCTGCAGATGCCGTTAGTTTTACTGTTCTGAATGTTAAGGGATTGCTGCCTTTGTTTGAGGCTCTTAAACTGAATTACGTTTCGCAGGTCTCTGAAGCAATTCATAATAAACGAGCTTGCCAGCGATTGGTTTGCATCTTTTTTAGAGATTTGTTCCGAGATCGTAAGCTACTCTATTTATTATACTGCTAACAGTAATGCGCCCAAACAATGTTACTGCTGCTTTAACTTTAGCCAGAAAATGAACGTGATGGACTGCTTAATGATGCTGGTTTCGTGGCATCGTGATGCCTACAAATTTTTGAACTGGCAGGACTATGCTTACCTCTTTAATACTATCGAGGACGGACGAATAACGCTTAGAGGTGAAAAAGAGATTACTGAAAACCGAAGAGTAAGCGTTGGCTGTAGCAATGAGAACGATAAAGAGGAGCATCACACCGCTCAAGTGCAATATGAAAGCGGTATGCAGAATGTCATTATTACCACAACAGAGAGAAGAATACCTTGGCCTTAACAAGTCGCTTGGCTTGCTTTGCGTGGTGGAAGTTATACATTATTGAGTGGTAATGGAAACTGCTCGGACAACTTCAGAATTGGTTATAAGCGTGCATCGCTGCGATAACGGGTTTGAAATATGTAGAGCTTAAAGATTGGGTGAATTAGCTAAATTGTACAAAGTGTACAAGAGCTTCTCATTTCACTGCTTCTCAAAATCCATATCTCCAAAACGATTGCGATCATTATGATTTATTGATATCACTAATATACTATTTTTCAAACTATTCATTGATAAACAACAAAATTACCTCTACAAAAGTTTTATCATCAGCTTTTCTAAAAGCGATTCCGCACGCTTAATGCGCGATTTTTCATGCTACTGGTCCGCTATAACATTTAGCATATCTTTTAGACATTTAGCATATCTTTCAATTTCAGTTACTAAAACCTACCGATTATTCCTGTCCAATTTATGAACGCTATACTGAAAAGCAGAATGAAGAACTGTTCAAGAATATCAGCAAAAAATACGCCGAATTTTTTAGCTTTCTCGCAAATGTCACTGGATTTCCAAAGGTGAATCTGAAGAAAGCAGCATCGCTGTACAACATTCATCGTGAGGTCAACTTTTACCCTAATCTAAAGATTTTTTTTTGGCGATCAAATCGGTGGAATGCAAAATAAGTAATCAACATTCAACATGGCATAATTGAATAGCTAGAGCAGAAGTCCGACAAAAAAAAAGACATTTTTGAATTTACAGTTTTCTTTTCGTATTATTTGTTGTTTCTTTGCTCTTTTTAACATTTTATTATTTGTTACAAACACGAATTTCGAGGACTGCTTCAAACCGGCGAGTGGTTTTTGCTAGCAAATGCCCCTGCTCCAACTAATTTCAAGTGCTGCTGCTTTCTACAAAGTACAAACACAGAAGAACTTTTCACTTTTCGATTTTAAGATGGATGGTTTTCTGAGAACGAAAGAATTAGGCAGATTACATTCCAGCTGCAACTGCGAAGAGTGCGCCCCAGTGCAGCCTCTTTGAATTCAGACCTGCGAATTTAAATCCCAAAATATTTCAGATAAGACACGATCTTGCTCAGCCCACCTGGGTCTACAAAAGATGGCCGGAGTATGACAATCAAACAACGTTGGAGATAATAGGTGAGCTGAAACGAATTAGCCGCATCGCGGAGTTCAATTCACCCGAAAAAGCCCGTCTGCGCGGAGGTCTACTTATGGGCGACTGGATCGCTAGGATGCGCAATGTATCGCGAAGAAAGCCTGTTAAGCCACGCAAAATGTTGCTGTACTCAGCAGTAGGTTTCTTTTTCTTCTGAGATGCATGTTATATGATTCCTAATCTATGCAAACGTGGACCTTCATTTGCACAAAATAGCAGACAAAAAGGATGAAGACGCAGTGGTTGATATAGTCTGAAAGTGAAGAACTTCTGTCCCCTTACAATTAGTGGATAACTTATTAGAACCCTGTCTGAAGCAAATCTAGTGATGAAAGTTCTTTGTAATTTAACATTAAATGCTGCAGAAAAAGCAGCAATTTTGGCAATATTTATGCCTTTTTTGTTGTATCACTGAAAAATTTGGCAGGAATTTAGCTTATCAAATTTTCTATTCCCCCCCTCTTCTTCAGTTTCTTCCTCTTTTCATAAAAAGTAAAAGAAAAGAGAGCTGTAACTAAACACTACGTCAGATTTCTAACCGAGTAAATATTTCATGCACTGGTGCACTTGATTCCTCTTTCCTGAGCCGCAGATATGCAAAGCTCATCACCTGACACTAATTCCGGAAACACACAAACTCCAAAAAAAAGTAACGTTCTGAAATTTGTTGTAGAAAAAAAAAAACGAATTCAAC